GGCACACATTGGACAAGGTGCCAGTACATTGAGGAACATTATTCTGAAATTCTTCCACAAATTGTAGACACAGATTTGCAGATTGGTGAACCTCTGTCCATCTTTACTGCTGAGAGACTCTGTCTCTGTAAGATACTCTGTTTATACCCAGTCACATTACTGACCTGTTCCCAATTAACCTCCAGCTGTTTCTTTTCAGTAACACTTACTTTTCCATTTTGTTGCCCGGTCTCAACTTTTTTGAGACGTGTTGCGGCAATCAAATTCAAAATTACCTTATTTGTTCTTAAAATGGTACATTTACTCAGTTTAAACATTCGATGTGTTTTCTAGGTTATATTTGGAATAACATGTGGGTTTATGAGATTTGCAAATCATTGCATTGTGTTTATATTGACATTTTACACAGCGTCCCAACTCTTTTGGAATTGGGGTTGTACAATGGTCATTTCTGGAGGTGTGGTGAAGACGCCCGCGCGAACACAAACAAATTACAGATCACCGAACATGCACAACATACGGGGTTTTTATGTTTAAACGAAGACGATGCTAAATGAAGTGGTTCAAATAAACGTTGCTGTTTGTGTGTAAATAAAGTAGAGGATGATAATGATGATAATTATGAGTTTTGAATGTTTCTTTATTGTCTTTTCTCCTACTGTGTAGTTCACCATTTCACACACAACCCATAACTTCCGCTTCCGGTTCCAGCTGAGAGACATGAGACGGAATATATTTAAAAACACATTCTGTTTGTTCCACACTGATAAATCTATATCCCCCAAACCTTCTGAATGTTTAATTCAGGAGAAACTGAAGAAAGGAAACTGAAAGGTCTGAACCTCACGCGCTGCGGATTTCCTACTGCTGATTTTACACCAGTTTTATTTACAATATATCATCATTCTTCTTATATAAAGTCGTTTATTATAAAGAAATCACTTACGTTTAGTCAACTGTCCTTGTTGTGTGACATTATCACCGTTTCTGCCTTAAAGGTTTCTTTAAACGTTTAAAATCGCTCCACAAAATAGAGTCTGAGGGAGAAACACTTTCAGTTTAGAAAGGTGGATTCACTTCATCTGATGAGTCGTTCAGAATGAATCGACTCTTTGAGCCGGATCTTTTGGTCAACGTTGGGAGCGGACTCGCGAATCTAAACTCTGTAATCTATCCTTCTGCTGAGAATTCATCAGTATTATGTTTTCATGATTCTCTGATGCATTTAATCACATACAGTACAACACACTAGCAGTAACTGATCCTCTCTGTACTGCACTTACACAGGAAAGAGACTCCGGTAAAGTTACTTTCACATATTCACATTTCCGTCTTCAGCAGCTTTAGCAGCTCAAGAAGGATAAAACATTTAAATTATTGTTATTCACAAACAAAATAATCAGTTACAACTTTTTTAGTAACTGATGTTTAAAATCCAGAGAATTGTTGAGAATTGTGTGTTGTTTACTAATGTTTACTAATCGTTTACTAATGTTTACTAATGAGTTGTTTACTAATGTGACAGGAGAAGTGATGTTACTATCCTGTTGACTCTGCTCAGGGTGTGGCTTCGGCAGACCAATAGGGTGGGAGCTATCCGATTATTTAAGGACCTTTATTTTGGTAGGCGTATAGGTAAGCTGACCTGGGGTCGGCATATTGATAAAATAAAAAACAAATGTAAAAAGATTAGTAATGTTCTGAGATGTCTGTCAGGGCAAGACTGGGGAGCAAGTATGACATCGCTCATAAATATATATCAGGCTCTGACGAGGGCCGCCTTTTATTATGGCTGCCTAGCATATATTTCGGCATCACAATCAAATCTTAAAAAGCTTGATGTGGATATGTACTAGATATGTACTTCGGATCTGTACTAGAGCATTTAAATCATCACCAGTGACTGAATTACAGGTGGACACAGGAGAGATGCCATTGTGTATCAGGAGGGTTAAGATCATGCTGGCATATTGGGTAAATCTACAAGGGAATAGCAGGGTACACACCACTAAAGCCATTTTACAGGAATGCTCAGAGTTCTATAGGACTAACTTTAATAGCTTTGGATGGTTAAGAAATGTAAAGGCACAAAATGCAGGTCTCAGTCACCTACAAGTGAGCTCCATTGTGGCGATACCAACTTTACCACCCTGGAGATTCATAAAACCATCTGTAGATACAAGATTACAACAAATATTAAAAATATTAAAAGAGAATTCGAAAATAGCACGACAAGGGATACTAATTCAAAACTATATGGATATATATACAGATGGGGGAGCACGGTGGCTTAGTGGTTAGCATGATCGCTTCACACCTCCAAGGTCCGGGATTCGAGTCCTGCCGTGGCCATTGCATGCGGAGTTTGCATGTTCTCCCCGTGTTGCGGGGGTTTCCTCCGGTTACTCTGGTTTCCTCCCGTAGTGATTGGCGTGTCCAAAATTGTCCGTATTGTATGAATGGGTGTGTGAGTGTGCCCTGCGATGGACTGGCACCCTGTCCAGGGTGTACTCTGCCTTGTGCCCAATGCTTCCTGGGATAGGCTCCAGGTTCCCCGTGACCCTGAAGAAGGAATAAGCAGTAGAAGATGGATATACAGATGGGTCAAAACAACCTGAGACTGGCCGCAGTGGTGCAGCTGTTTTCATTCCTCGGTATGAAGTAGCAGTCAAAAAAAGTTCGACTATCGACTGATTATTTGTCAGTGTACACTGTAGAATTATTAGGAGTCCTATTGGCACTGCAGAGGTTGGAAAAAAAATCATCAGAGCCTAGATGTTGCTATAGCTTCTGACAGTCTATCAGCACTATCAAGCATACAGTCTGGGAAAACATCATACAGACAAGACATCGTCTACCAAATACTTAATCTGCTTCTCATACTTCATGCTAAGGGGCTGAGTGTTTCGTTCTTCTGGGTTCCTGCACATGTAGGGATAGAAGAGAATTAAATTGTGGATGTACTGGCAAAATGATCGATAAAACAAGAAACTTGTTTATATACAAGTACCATTAATTAAAGCAGAGATCAAAATCATTATAAAGGAACACACGCATAAAATATGGCAGGAATACTGGGACACAGCTGACACCGGAGGACCCCAATATATCATACAAAACAAGTAGGCATGAGAGTGAGGCAGGGCAGAAACCCAAAGGAAGAGATGATAATTACGTGTCTTAGAATAGGTCATGCTGGATTAAATCTAGCATTAAACAGAATAGGAAAACACTGGACTCTGCACCCACCGCAATACACAAGAGACTGTAAAGCACATTGTATCACACTGCAAAAGATATGAAGAGGAAAGAACTGAGCTAGAGATGCAGATTGGAAAACAAAACATGACACTAGAGAACTTGCTGGGGAAAACATCTGGGGAAATGCACCGCCCCCTAATGAACTATTTCAAAAGGACGGGTATAACTATTTTTAGTATATAATTTTTTTTTTAATTATTTTTTTTTTTTTTTTTTTAAAAAAAAAAATATATTTAATATTTTTTAATAATATCTCGTTCACGGGGGCAGAGGGAGGAAGGGACAAAGAAAAAAAAAATTAATAGTTGAAAGGAATGAAGAAATGAGAGAATATTGATTATTTTTTTTAAACATTTTTTTTGTTGGTTGGGGGGGATTAACCTGAACTAAACTGAACCGACACACACGAATCAGAACTGGACTCAGAGAGACAAAGCTAAAGAGTTGCAGCAAAGCAACACCAAGCCAAGCAAATTGTGTGTTCATGTCATGCCATGGTTGAGTGTTCATGCCATGCCTAAGTTAGATGAGTGTTTCCTACCATAGTTTAAGGAGTGTTTACAACTTATTTTAAGGAATGTTCAGGCCTTAGTTCAATTAGTGTTTCCATTCCATGTCCTCTGCTTAAGTATCAAATACAGACTTCCCTCCTGCACTTACTTCCTGTCCAAGTCTCCTTATGTAACAAGTACAAATAAATAGTATATAGCTATTTATCTCTTTATTTTCTTTTATTTATGCAGTATTGTTTTGTTTATTATAATTATTATTAGTGTTTTTTGTTATTATTAATATTATTATTATTATTATTATTTTAAATTTAATTTTTCCCCCTGCCAATCTACTGCCCACACTCCTGTCCAGTAGGTGGCGGTAATGCACTTTTAATAGTTTGCCAACTGCCCTTAAAACAAGAAGAAAGAAGGATTACTTGACGTCAGATCTAGACTGAAACAGGCTGAGACAGGACAGAGTCACATTAAGGGAGTATTTGTGTGTGTGAGAGAGATTTGAGAATAAAGTTTTTATTTGCATTTCCTTCAGAATTGTGGAATGAATTATTATTCATTTAAAGAAGGTATAAAAGGCAGAACTCTCCGTATCGGCCGATATCACTCTGAATAATCAGTTATTGGTATCAGATGAGAAATTTTATATCTGTGCTTCTCTACTAAATACACTGCTGTCCTATTGTATGAGGAGTGTAGGTATTCTTCACTAAATCTTTGTATGTAGAATATTATTTTTCTATTCACCCTTTTCTTTTTGTTTAGTTCTTGCCTATTACCTTGGTTATTCTGTGTAAAGGCCCCCTCTTAATCCTGTTGTATTATACACCTGTACAATGAAGCAGTAAAATAGTGACCTTCTACCTGGGCCTCATTTTATCTCCTTCCTTTCGACCAATCATCATACAACCTCTGCATGTTATTCCTCTTTACCCTTCAACAAAAAGGGGGTAGGTAGGGTGTTTTTTATATATATATATATATATATATATATATATATATATATATATATATATATATATATATATATATATATATAATATATATAATAAATATATATATATAAAAAGTTTATTTATTTTGTTTTTTTAACGCTGCTTATTATTGCCATAGACAGGATGAGACCATGATTCTCACCTTCTATAGAAAACAAACTAACAAATGGGTCAAAATAAACATCCTATACACATAGATGGACTTTATTCTAGATACAGCCCAACAGTGGCAGCTCGGTGGTGCTGGGGTTTGAACTCACAACCTTCTGAGCAGTAGCACAACACTTTAACCACTCAGCTACAAAATGAGGTTTTACATTCTATTCACTTGAGAGATTTTTCTCACCCAAAAAAAACCTGCTGTACATGATAAAACATTTCCATTCATTCAGTACTAGTCACTGAAGATATCTTTTCTAAAAATTCTTGTGCATCTAATCCGTGGGTTTGAATGTAGAAATCACATACTGTGAAATGACCTACTGGTCAGATATTGACACAGAAAGTACTGATCAGTATAAGTGTGAAACATGAATAGAATCTGAATACATTTTAACCAGTTGTCACTTCCAGGCTGTTTACAAGCTGCTGAAATCCTGTCTTATAATCATAGTCTCCTTTGACTATCATCACACAAACATGTATGTATGTATGTGTATATATATATATATAATCATATCCTACGAGACGAAGGAGAAGCAGTATGTGCTCTTTGCCATTGCAGCCATCTATATGTGGTGAAAGGGCAAGCAACAATTAGCTTAGCGAGCATACTGCTTGGTGTGTTTAAAGCAAGATGATTATGATGAAACACTCACTTGTTGATGCGATGAAGTAAAATCTCAGACATGCTGGCCTGTCGCTGTCATATTGAAAGTAACAAAAAGAGTGGAAACAAAAAACCAATGAGATTTCATGCTAAAACTGAAATCTCCTCAGATGGTAAGTGTTCAAATCACTTACAGTAAAATGATTAGGGCTTTTTTGTTTAGTTTTTTTTTACATTTACAGTAATTAAATCGCTTTGGTACTGTATTCATAAGTAAGTACTAAGTAGATCATAGAAATCTGGCAGTTATGGTCTCTACCATCAGTCACAGCTCAGTATATACTGTATGTAAAAGTGTGTGCGCGTGTATGTTTCTCAGCATGAAAGCCCGACAAGACTGCAAGGGAATGAATCCAGAAAGAATCCTCATGACCTCATCTGTAAAAGGTAATTTTCTTCATACTGTAAGAGCTGTTGGAAATTCTTTTTATTAATGAAAACCAGTCTGGAGGACATGCAGAAGACAGCCGTGCACAGCAGCGGAAAATAATGACTTTTTGATAAAGTATTAAGTAATGAAATGTTTTAACACAGTTGGAACAGAATACATTACGTCATTAACTGTATACTCAATTCTACCTAGAAAACAATAAAAAGAAAATTGACATATAACCTGGGGACAATTTTCATTGATCCCACCTTCTGATTACACACTGGATAGATATCACACACATTACGTATTGGTTAGATAATTTTAATTCTATTTATAATGTAACAACTGAACTTTACAGCTATTTTCAGTCAGCACGTCTAAGAGCATTTTGAGAAAAAAATTCTTGTTTTATGATTAAATGAACTGATTGCTAAATTCTATTAATAAACTGAAAGAAGATTATTCTTTTTCTGTGATTAAACCAAAAGTTTTCATTGAGTTCTCACAATAATTGAACACAATAATAAAGCATAGTTCCAGGTTTTGAAAGAACAGCCAGCTTTGTTACAAATGTTCAGTTTTGAGATTTACAAAATTGTACTGAAGTGATTCATGAAAATGTAAACAAAATCCCAATTAAAAACCAGGCCAACCAATTGTGTGAAGAGCACAAGTGTTAATTACAGTACTTTTTTTTATACATTTGTATAAAACACTTGTATTTTGGTGCTTTAATTCATCTTTTTTAATTCTATGAACTATGGACATTAAATATGAATTCTGTTTGTGAACTGCCTTTTTATTTAAACATGCTAAAATGTTTTTGTTTCAGATGATGACAGAGTTCATTCTAATTAAGAAAAACAGGTGTCAAAACCTGTTCCAGTCAAATGTAAGTTGTTCTTCACAGCCACTAATATTAAATTTTATTTACTCACCTGCTTTATTTTTGTTTTCTTTATTATGCATTATTATAAAGGCTCTAAAATGCAATAGATCAGCCTTTGCCCAAAATATGTCCTCAAGACAAGGGTTAGTAGAATATAAATCTATATATTTCATCAATTTACAATATATCATTCAAAATGGATTAAAGCAATATATTTAACTCTCTCTCTCTCTCTCTCTCTCTCTCTGACAGACCAATGAGAAATGCCAAGGTCTCCTAATTTATTCTGTAGATGGAGGCTGTTGTTGTTGTTGTTGTTGTTTTTAAATGATATAAAGATATCACTCATGCGACTGAATGAGAACTAGAATAAGGTGTGTATGTGAATGTGCTCCATAAATAAGGAGACAGGTGTGATTGATGAGCTCTGAAAATTAGTTTTGGAGACAGTGTGAATGTTGCATGAACCGGTGTGTGCTGTTATCTGAGTGGTCATGCCTGCATTTGTGTGAAAGAGAAAGTGAGAGAAAAGACGAGAAATAAAAAAAACACGGTGTGTGTGATCTTCAGATTGAACTGGGTGATGCAGAACTTTGGGAGTTATTTCTGAAAAATATTCAGTTATTTTTCATTGAGAGTTTGAGTCTTGTTTGGGTGATTACATCAGACTGTGAGGATGTGATTCCAGTGGGTCTGTCTGTATTATAATAATTGCTTTGGTATCAATATTAACTTAAAAAAAAAACTGAAGCAGCCGGGAACTTGGCATTGTAAATATTTTGGACATCTGTCTGATTGCCCTTTGTGTAGATCACTCAGAACTTTTAAACCTGTAATATATAAAATATATCAACATGTAGATTGTGTGATCAAGAGGGGCAGACACAGCCTTTGTTGAACAATTCATGATCTGTTGCATTTCTACTAGCTGAGCTAAATATTAATGAACTCACATTTTGTTATTTAGGCTGATGCAAAGGAAATTAATATAAAATAAAGAAAGTAAGACATCAACATTTTTATCCCCTAAACAAAGTGCCTGTTATCCCTTATTAGGTTTTAAGGCTGGAGTTGGGCAGCAGTAATAGAGAAGGGGTTAATTTAATGTCTAGATACCAGCCGCATATATTATACTTTTCAGCTCTGCATTATTGGGAATATAATTCACTAATATCACTTGGCTTTAATCAAATCTGATTAGTGTATGCCACGGCTAGTCCCCGCGTACTAGAATGTTCTCCATTCACCACCTGAATATTAAGAAAAGCCATACAGAAAGGCAGAAAGATTAATATCTGCCATCTGAAGTGTCATTTTTGTGGGAATCAGGCCAGGGATCACTTTGGAGTGCTGAGTATTTACGAGTATAAAAGAAAGCCTGCTCATGAGAGTACATACTCATTCAACTACAGAAGCACATTCCATTAAGAATTAAAGTGTTATAAGTTACCGGTGGCTTAGTGGTTATCACGTTCACCTCACACCTCCAGGGTCCGGGGGTTGCGTGTTTGTGAGTTTGCATGTTCTCCCCGTACTGCGGTTTCATCCGGGGGGTTTCCACTCCGGTTTCCTCCCCAGTCCAAAGACATGCATGGTAGGCTGATTGGCGTGTCTAAAGTGTCCGTAGTGTATGAATGGGTGTGTGAGTGTGAGTGTGTATGTGATTGTGCCCTGCGATGGACTGGCACCCTGGCCAGGGTGTCCCCGCCTTGTGCTTGATGATTCCTGGGATGGGCTCCAGGTTTCCCGTGACCCTGAAGAAGGAGTGGATGGATGGATGGATGGATGGATTAAAGTGTTGTATGGAAGCAGAGTTAATTACATTGCTCAAAGAAACACAGGGAGTAAGTAATCATTTCTGGTTTAGTGCTTAGTAGTTAGCGCGTTCGCTTCAACGTCCAGGGTCTGGGGTTCGATAATAATATTTTATTAAAAACATTATTTTTTACTTTTATAACATTTTCAAATATCACAGACACTATTTTAAATAAAAACAATCATAATGTTGCACTGTTGCTAAGATTTAATCGGATCTTACAAACATCCACGACTAACTCGTAGCCCGCTAGCATCACCTTACTGCTAGCGTTACATTAATTTGATTGGAAAAGCATTGTTCCAAGAGTGTTGATATTTAGTAAAACAGCACTGCTACATTAATTAACCAAAGAACAAAGTGATAAATGTGACTTGTAGTGAGTCTCCAAGAGAATTCCACAGATAAACTCCTCAGGTAAATTCCTCAGATGCCAATCCTGTCAGGTCAGAATTCCACCAATGTCTTGAAACTGTTCCTGTCCATTTTCTGGACATTTGGACATTTCCTCTCCACTGTTCCTATCCACAGATGTTCATCAAACCCTGAATATAAAAGAAAAGCTTGTGATTTAATAACCACAAACTGGACTGTGGTACTTCATGATCAACATGTAATCATCTCTGCTCCAAGAGAAACATCATCATCTCCTGTTTATAATTAATCATTCTACATTTCTTCATTCTTACTAACATCTCTGTTATAACATTTAGCTAGAACAAATGAGAACTTCCACAAGTTCTAACAGGAAAATTAGAAAATTTAGCTCTTGGAGATTTTTAAATAATGAACACTACTGTGTCATTTAGCTCTTGTTCTACATTTATATTTAAGAGCAGACTTTAAGAAGAAGCCGAGGTGAATGTTACAGGAAAGACAGAAGACACGGTGTGGAGGTAGGGTGCTGGAAGAAGTGTCAGAGTGAGTAAAGTGGCTGCTTAAATCAAATATCTGTGTCATAAAATATAATCTTTTTAATTATCTTTAATGAGAGTTGAGAAGTGTGCTGCTTATCAGAAACAGGGAAAAGCAGAGATCATCTTGTTCAGACAAAAGCAGCAGCATGAAGTCAGAGATAGCAGGCTGTCACAAGGAGACCAGGTGTTCATTTACAATCACTCTCATGTACTCATTTGTGATATTTTGTAGATTCTGTCTGACTCCCTGTCTTCTACCTTCACATGAATTTTAAATCAACACACTTTACTGAACACAAAACAGCATTAAAGCCAATTGTTAGAATAAATCTGATTAAATAGAATATTGTGACATTTCAAAAACTGGTTTTATTCCTTAACCTGGTAATCTGATATTTATTTAAACTAAAGAGAAATTAACAAAAGAGGTTAAATTATTAGTCTTTTATTTTTTCACAATTTATCTAAAAAGGTCATTACTCAC